ATGGTGGACTGGAACGACTTGTAAATCTGTCAGTTTTCTCTCGGTCGGTAAAATAAATTATCTTATTATAAATGTTCTAAAAACGAGGAGAAGTTTCTCCGAAAAACTGGAGCCGTGCTCAGCTCGCAGTTATGACCTTGCGTGATTCATTCATTCATTATATATACCTAATGAGATGAAGTCGTTTAACTTAGGTGTTTCAGAAGCCACAGATGTTTTCACAAACAAATGGTATTGACTACAATAGTGTCGGCCTCATACCAAAATCTTCAAAAGAAAATGGCTGGCAAAAAAATTTCTAGGGCAAATTTCACCGTCACGAAAGACTCACGCGTTTGTTATCAACATTTCGAACGACATTATTACGAACGGGATGCTTCGAACACCCGGGAAGTACAAGTTGGAGGAGGATGTTGTCCCAAAAATCCCGGGCTATTTATGATGCAAACACTCGATCAACCTTAGTGTCAGTTATCAGGGGAATCAAATTCGTCAATAAAATATAAACAATTCTCCATAACTTGTTGCAGGAATATCTGTATCTTTTGTTTCAGTATGGATCTGCACGTGGAGAGATAGCATTACCTTTTTGCCAGTTTTCTTCCTTCTGAAAGCCCTTCAACTCTGGACAACTTCAAATAACCAGAAGCGAAAGAAAATATTAATAAAATTATTCCTCTAAGGCTACCTAGAAGTAAATGATAACAAAATGACGATTTTACGCTTCAGTTTCTGTTCCTCCGAGAATTGCTACAAGGTAGCACTGTTGTTGCTTTTGTTGGTATTTTAACATGTAAAATTAAGACCACAAGAATATAAAACGTAAAGAGGGTTGATTGCTCATTTATTGACAACAAAAGGCTTACACCGATATTATTTGAAGTTTCTCTCTGTTATACCGCGAAAAGATTCGATCGAGACATTACACGTTCCTCATTAAAATGTTATTAATTATGTACTTTTGAATGAATTTTTGGACATATGACAAATTGAGAAAGCTTTTTGAATGGATTAAGTTCCATTTCTCAACCGCCACTCTCAGGGGAAAAATTCTGAAACAGTAACACGAGTAAAAACGAGACTGCCGAGAGAAAACACTATGAATAGTCTTTATTTGTTTGTGTTTTTATTTGTTTCTTGGTTTGTTATTGATTAATTCTTGCCTCTATTGACATTAATGATATCTTGATTACCATTATTGGTCTCCATAATGTTTTTTTCCTCTCGGTGGTGGGTTATGTTTCTTTCCTTTCATGGTGGGTTATGATGTTTCATTATTCTGTAAACTGATGTCTTGGATGCGGACCTTCTAAACATTAGTGTATCCAATGCCCTTTTCTTTCCACAAGGAGAAGACCTTAAATCATGATTACTTGAGATGTTCTTTTCTTACTTTTCGTATCAATACAAAGCTGTCAGAGCCTTCTTAAGCTGGTTATGTATACTTGCTCTAAAATTTTCTCATCGAACTTAATTCAAGTTATACACAAATCTGAGCTAAGGGACAACACTACTAGGACTACTCAGATTTCATATATTTCAATGCCACTTTCATGGTTATTGCGAGGCTGGACATTCATTTTTCTTGGCAATCCACGCTGATACTTTCATTTACTTGCGAAGCTCGCTTAACGCCCGTTACTTCATCTGCAGTTGGGGTGACACCAGTGATCCTTCTTTTGAAGCGAGATCTAATCTGCATAAATAAGTTGATATCAAAACGATCTCAAGAACTGTACAACTCTATGTGCTTCGCATTTATACAGTCATCGAATTTAACTTCTTATTTCAAAGTGGAAGCCTTGTCAGGTAAAAATCTGAGCAAAAACTTTAAAGCTTATAAAGAGAATTCAAAATAAAATTTAATAACTTACCTCTGAGTTTCTCACACAGTGAAGGAGGAATATTATGAAGCCCTGTTAAATGGCAATTTCAGAAATCACATTAACGCCTTTAGTAGATTCAAAGTGCTTCCAAACAAGCTCCCCTAACCCTAAACCTCTTACTATTAAATATTGCTGGGCAGCAAAAATGTCCAAACCTATACTGCTATTAATCACAGGTTCTCTACTTTGTGTCTGTATTACACTAAGTTTACCACCTGGTAAACTTGTAAGGAAGGGTTAGTACAACTTCTTGCTTTTACGCGGTACTTTTCACACGATTCAGGAATATCGAGAGGAATACAATTAGATGAAGAAAACTTTTGTCATCTCGGGTATTCGATTGTGAGGCCTTTAATGTCATGTCCTAAATCGACTTAGTCTCAATAAGCAAAATTGTGATCATTGATGCAAAATAGATATGTGTTTTGTTATATTAAGGTTTGGTTTTTACTCCAGAAGACTCAGTTTCACTTTTTTATATAATTGTAAAGAGGGTCTTTGTTTTTTATGAACAAATCTTAGAATCATGACCTGATTCCCTTTTTTGTGTCTTTTTCAACCCTTTAATTCCCATGAGTGACCGAGACAGAATTTCTTACAATATCAATACAAAATCAAGAAGACGAGTGATGAGAACCAAGAAAAGTATCGATAAGGGGATTAAAAGCTGATCTTATACCAAATTCTCGGAAGTAAAATCAGAAGAATTGTAGAGGAGACAGTAAGGATAATTACTAATAATACCTTGGGAGTTAAAGGGTTCAACATTGTTTACTAAAGAATGCTGTAACTGTTAAAAGTTCATCAGCCACGTAGCGTGTGTTTTCCAAGTATGTCTTAATGGGATAATTCGAAAGTTGTTTTTATGTCAGGAGAGACAAATCCTTAGTAGACATGGGCTGGGTGAACTTGTACCCTAAAATGAGGTGCACTTTCAGCACTGACTTTTACCTTTGTCAAGATTCATTCTTAAATCAGTGGTGAATCCACGAACCGCCCGTTCACCTTCATACTGTATGAGCACGGATTTCATTCACTAAAAGGTGTATTTAGTTTACCTGAATGGAGTTGGACATTATGAAAATGTAGGCAAACGCTTTCTGCAGGGGCGACAGAAGACCAAATAGCCACGTGATCCCAAGCAAAGGAATCATCAACACGCATGCCCTGACATCAAGTCTATAAAATCATAAAAAAAAGAGAAAATCAACATGTTGTGAATTGGCATTATTCGTGTAACATAGCAAAGTAAGAGGCTAAGGGCTTAGATGCATCTTCTACTGACGTCACAAAAATACTTACCTTATTTGTTCACTGATTTTGTCTTTTGCATGCTGCATGTTTGCCATCTCCTTGATAACTCGCACCAGTATCAATGTGTTTAGCTGAGAACAGAAGAAAACGAGACAAAACAAAAAAACAATCTAACTATACAAAGGAAAAGAGAAGTTTGCACTTGAGCTAAGTTCTCCTAGTGGCCTCATTGGATGTTCGTCAAAAGTTGAACCCTTCCCCTCCTCGTCATTCCATCAGACATTTCCCAGGTTTCCTTGACCATTGGTTGGTAAATATCCATAAAGCTTTGAGGAGAGGGAGAGAAGCATTGTGAACGCAAAATGTTTCGCCTAACAACACAAAACAACAACCCAGGAGAGACCCGAGCCAGGACTACTCGACCTGAAAATCTTTCGCGGTAACCGCTGACGGGATCTTCCTACAATAAGGTCACCTCAAGCAAAATTTATATTTCATACATATTTCAGCTTTCGTTGGCAACTGTTGATTAGAGTCTACTATTAGAGTCTAGATTAAAAAAGCGGCGAGCGAAAAAAATGATCACGATGCAACGATAACCGAAGGCAAAGCGTGAAAGAGGGGAACGAAAAAATTTTAAGAATTTAACCTACCAACTCGATCAGTACAACGAATACAACAAATATCCAGATCTTGCCGTTAGAGGATGACATCCAGCAGCTAAATAAAAAATTAAGTATCCGAAACTTTGATAAATTATCAATTAATTAATACTTTTTTTGCGCATGCATGTACGCAGTACCCTCCATATCGGGTTTGATGACTAGTAATAAAAGGCAACAAAGAAATAACAAAACAGCAACAACAGCAGCCACAAACCAATCAATTAAACCAAAAAAACAAACAAACAAACAAACAAAGTATAACATAAAACGAGGATTCGTGACAGGGAAATCACACGAGGAAAAAATTATTCACTTCTTACAAATTTTCACTGATATAGCTTTCAATCCCTGGCCTGGTTCCTGCTGCAATGCCCAGCG